GCATGGAGGTGTTGGTTAGAAAGTCAGTAAATTCTAAGTGTTAGAGTTTTAGGAGTAGAATGTTAGTCTCAGATGTTGTCCGAGTTGGAATCCCCAAACTTCCAATTCCTCTCTTTTCTCTTTTGCATATCTTGCATCTGCCTCCTCTCCTGTATCTTGTCTGTTGTATCTCCCTTTGTCTTAACTTTTAAAGGGCCAGACTCTCTGTACGTCATCAGTTGATAACCCAATAGAAGCACTAGAGGTGTGGTTATCTTCCAGATCGCAAATTAGTTATTTGGTCTGTAGAGGGCAGTCTTGTCCCACTAAACATACCTATCCAGGAAAGAGTTAACTTTTCCTGGTGGCTATTTTGACGTCATTTTGCGTTATCTTTATAGCGCCATAATTTAAAATTTCAAAGGGTTTCTTAAATTTTGTCCAGACTTAGCGTCTGCAATTCCTGCCATAATTTCTGATATGACAGATCATGAACTAAGTTTACCCTTTTCCATACAATGGTACCTTATATATATATAGACAGTTAAATTTTATTATTTAATCTTCTCTGTCACAATTGTCTGGGTTTAGATTTGATTATATTCCATTAGCATTAGACAGTCTGTCCAACCCCCTTCCTTATCACTTGGCTTGTATATACCATGCATTCCTCAGATCTGGGAAAGTGGTTAGCTTACAGATAGAAATATAGTGTCTTTTTGTTAACTTGAAATAACAAAATGGAGTCTGATCTGTTCAGAGTGACTCAGAATATACACTTTTAGTTTCTATCATAGCACAAAATGTCTGCCGATATAAATACTCTGACAGCTGTTATGATGTTTTCTGATGTGATTAGCTACAGGTGTAGATATATTGATGTTCATAACCGAATTTACATGTTGCAGTATTCGTCTTCTGAACTGTTGATATGTTTTTCCCACGTATTGTATACCGCAACTACATGTAATTACGTAAACAACCTTTGTGGTGGAACAGTTAACAAATTGTTTGTTGACAAAGCGTTGTTGTGTTTTAGTACATTCTACGATCTTAGAAGGAAATATATATTCACAGGCCTTACAATGTCCACATTTGTAAGTGCCTTTGGTCATAGTTAGCCATGTTTTTGTCGGTGGTTCCGGTTCTAAATGACTATGTACCAGAATATCTTTCAAATTTCTCGGTCTCCGTGCTGTAATGCTGGGCCATTGTGTAAGATGTTTGGCCAAATCCTTATCATGCATTAGGATTGGCCAATGGTCCTTGTAGATTCTTTTTATTGGGTCCCATAGTTGATCAAAAGTCCCAATACAGCGTATGGGTTGTTTTTCTACTGGTGGTTTCATAGTCCGTAGAGCGGTAGTTCTTTCTATTGCTGATGCCCGTTGGTATGCTCTTTTTAGAACTCGGTTTGGATAGCCTTGAGATTTAAACCTTGATCTTAGTTCTTTTGCCTCTCTGTAGAATGTCTCATTGTCCGAACAGTTACGCCTTGCCCTTAAATACTGACCATATGGTATTCCTGCTTTTTGGTTATATGGATGGTGACTCTCCCAATGAAGTAAACTATTGGTAGAGGTTTTCTTCCGGTATAATTCCGTGTGTACCTTACCATCCAAAGTCAGGAGAATCCTTAAGTCCAGGAATTCAATTTGTTCAGCATCAATCACATATGTTAATTTAAGTCCTATAGAATTGTCATTAAGAATTCTTACAAAGTCCTTAAAGGTATCGACAGTGTCTAACCAGAATAATAGGACATCATCAATATATCTACCCCAATGTAGTATAGATTGTCCAAATTTTTCCGCTATTGTTTCACTTAAAATTGTCTCCTCCCACCATCCTAGGTAGAGATTGGCATAACTTGGTGCACAAGCTGTGCCCATAGCGGTACCTTTCACTTGCAAGTAATAGGTCCCATTGAAAATGAAATAGTTGTGCGTTAAAATAAAATCCAACAGTTTCACTATAAAGTCTCTTTGAGATGATGTAAAGTCAGATTTCTCCAAAAAATAAGTTATGGCCTTTAAACCCATTGTGTGTGGAATATTGTTATATAGAGAAACCACATCTAAGCTGGCTAGCATAGAATAAGGTGGAACCTCAAGATTCTCTAATCTGAGTAGAGTCTGTTTGGTATCTTTAATATAGGATGCCAGCTTCAGAACAAATGGATGGAGTAGTTTCTCAATATACTTGCTGGCATTTTCTGTAAGAGATCCGTTCCCGGAGACAATCGGTCTGCCTGGGGGTTGCTGTTGATCCTTGTGCACTTTCGGAAGACAGTAAAAGGTGGCAATTGTGGGATTTGTATTCGGAACGATGTATCTAAATTCGTCTCTGGAAATAATCTCATGTTCCAGTGTCTGGTTCAAAAGTTTTTTCAAATCCTCAATGTAACTTAAAGTTGGATCATTAGTTAATTTTCTATAACATAGAGGATCATTGAGGTGGTCCATACACATTGAGACATACATCTTCCGATCCATAAGTACAATATTGCCACCTTTATCTGAAGGTTTAATGATTAGATTTTTGTTCATACTTAGTTCACGTGGTGCACATTGTTCACTTAGAGACAAGTTGTGTTTATTTATTGGCAACGTTGTTAATTTTTCAATTTTGTCTGTTGTCATTTGGACAAAGAGATCTACATTTGTTACCTCTTTTAAATTGGGGGTATACCAAGATGGAGGTTTAACGTCTGTTAAAGTTTGAATAGTATCCTGGTCGTCCAATAACCGTATCAATGTTTGCAAATGATCATGATCCTCTACAGCAATGCCTATCTCTTTACATAACTTATTCTCTCTTCGGTTATGTAGAGAACATAATGCCAGTTTTCTACCAAACAAATTGGTATCTTTTGTCCAACTGAAAACATCTGCCCCTGGTGTAGGGACAAATGAAAGGCCTTTATTTAAGAGTGAAATGTGATGTTTAGATAAAGTGTACGTTGAGAGATTAATGACTTTATTATCCTCTTTCTTGGGAATTTCAATTATTATTGCCTCTTGGTGGTCCTCTCTGGCTTGTATACCCATTTCCCCCTGTCTCTTAGACGTCCCCTCTGTGGGGTGGGCCATTCCTGGTCTAAAAAAGTTTGTGATGTATTCATCAGAGGTATGGGACTTGGGGTCTGAGTTTGTAAGAATGTGACGGTTTTATCCTGATTGCTCAAGATCCCTCTTGGATTTGGTCTTGGTCTAGATGTCGAACGAAAGTCTTTCCTATTATATATAGGATTAGAGTCTGAATCAGAGCCATCTGTATTTCGGCTCCTTGAGTTTGATCTAGTAGAAAACCGTCTTTTGGGTTGTTTTTTAATACGAAAAATATTCCCTTCTTTAAAGTCATTATAATCTCTCACAAACTTTTGATGCTTTTTCTCTTTAATAAAGGTTGTGAAAGATTCCAAATTATTCTGCAATTTTGTCTCCATTAATGAATATTCAGGATTATTATGAAAATTCTTAACCTTATTTATTTCTTCTTGTAAGTTTTTATTCGTTAGGTCCAATTCCTCTTGTTCTAATTCTATTAAAAATTGCATTAGTTTTGAAGAGCAATCTAATAAAATTGTGTTCCATCTGGTCAATTTTTCATCATTATCAACTTTCACTGGAGTGGAGATCTCTGGTCTAAGTCCTCTAGGGACTAAATTCTGTGCTATATATTGACGTAAACTCTCCAACTCCCAGTGTCCCTTAATTTGGGATTTGTAAAGATCTTGTATTGAGAAGAATAAATTGTTTATATCATTATTCTTTATATTTGTAAGTGGTATTAAAGAAAATACTTTACTTATATCTCCCGGATTAGTAACGGAGATTTGAACCTCCTTTAATAATGATGACATTTTTTAACAGTGATAATTTTTCACCTATATGGCTCATAGGATGGAAAAGATAGCGGGTATTTAAACCCCAATTTTGAAGATATTTATTTGAGAGAAATGAAAAAAGAAAGAAAGGAGCCTTAAATTACTGGAACCTCCATGGGGGTTTACCCCTTGTTAATTGACAAAGAGAAAAAAGAGAGGTTGGAGATTCCAGTGCTGTTAATATTATCACCAATGGAACACTGGTTAAATTTAAAACGTCACTTTTAATAAATCAGGTTAAAAGTCCCTTGTTCATAAGGACATGACCCACACTCTTATACTAAACACGTGTTTAAACACCACATCTAAATGAAAATAAATAAATCCACTGAAAATGATTGCACTAGAGGGAAAAATGCCCACTGATGACTGTATTAGTCTACTGGAGTGGAATCCTACAAAATTAATGGTCTTGAAAAACTAAACTATTGCAGTTATTGCAGTCATTTAACCAAAATTTGTATCCCCAAGTTATTTTCAGTGGGTTCGCATTCCCTGAGACAGACAGTTAGTATGTGTACGGCATTGTCTTTCCAAGTAGATTTGAGACTCTTTGACAATGGAAAGATTAACAAATTTACACTGTTGTATATTATATCAAAAGTGAATAATAAGTCAAGTTAATTATACACTTGTAGAATGGGACATTAACCTAATCAATCACATATTTATATTCCCAGTCATACAGGTTTGTGTGTGAGTAGCTACTCGTATGTGTGTAGCCAATCAGCTGAGTGTGAGTGGCTACTTCCAGTGCAGATAATAAGATGTGTGTAAGTGTGTGTAATCACCTATATACTTCACTCTCTAATTTTCTTATTCATACACCATCAATCTCTTTCCGTCCTCAAACTGTGTCTTAATATAACATAACCCCTTCACCTTTCTTGGGTAGCATAATTTACATATAGTCGCAATACTACAATGTGCCCACTAGGTGTCACTCAATCCACGTTTGTTTCACTTTGTAAAATACTTTTTAACATTTAGTGGCTGGCTGATATTTTTTTACATCCAATAATTAAAATGTCAAACAACGTATTTTATTCCACTCATGGGGGTCTGTTAATTGTTATCCACAAAAGGGTCGAAGCAGAATATAAATCAGTCTTCGTTGCAGCCCGTCACGAACGCCTGTGAAAATCACCTTTGATGACATTATTTAGAAGATGTCGTGGCCCTAATTTTCTGAGCCGATTGATAACCACTTTATCTGATAACCGTTTAAAGTCCATTTATATCGATGGAGGATTTAAAATCTCTAGATTTTAAATCCTCGCCCAGAGTTTTCGAGAATCGGATTTCTTTGTTTTGTGTTGGAATGGAAGGCTTGCTTTGTGAATGTGATTTGGGAATTAGTCAAGGCTCGCTTTGTGAATGTGAGTTGGGAATCAGGCAAGGCTCGCTTTGTGAATGTGATTTGGGAATCAGACAAGGCTCGCTTTGTGAATGTGATTTGGGAATCAGCCAAGGCTCGCTTTGTGAATGTGATTTGGGAATCAGACAAGGCTCGCTTTGTGAATGTGATTTGGGAATCAGACAAGGCTTTGTGAATGTGAGTTGGGAATCAGACAAGGCTCGCTTTGTGAATGTGATTTGGGAATCAGACAAGGCTCTCTTTGTGAATGTTATTTGGATAAATCAGACAAGGCTCGCTTTGTGAATGTGATTTGGGAATCAGACAAGGCTCGATTTGTGAATGTGAGTTGGGAATCGGGCAAGGCTCGATTTGTGAATGTGAGTTGGGAATCGGGCAAGGCTCGCTTTGTGAATGTGATTTGGGAATTAGGCAAGGCTCGCTTTGTGATTGTGATTTGGGAATCAGACAAGACTCTCTTTGTGAATGTGATTTGGGAATCAGACAAGGCTCTCTTTGTGAATGTTATTTGAATAAATCAGACAAGGCTCGCTTTGTGAATGTGATTTGGGAATCAGACAAGGCTTGCTTTGTGAATGTGAGTTGGGAATCAGGCAAGGCTCGCTTTGTGAATGTGATTTGGGATAAATCCACAGTCCTCCTTGAAGGGTCTAATATTTACTTCTTTCAGCTCTTGTCTAGAGGTCGGTACTTTTTTATGGTGCCAGACTGATACAGGTGTTGAGGAGACTCTAGAAGCACGCTTACTGTTACTAGAGATGTCAAGCTGCTCCCGTCACACCGAGATTTCTGTCCTCATTGGGTCTGTCCATAGATCCGTAGGCGAGAACTGCCTCAAGTTCAATAAGTGGCATGGTGGAGCCATTGCCCCTTCATTTCCTGTCACTTTATCTTCAAACTCTTCCACCATAAAATAGTCATACCGTTGTGGTGCGATATTCTTGCCTAAGGGAATCTTTCGTTATACTCAGTTTAGCCTCTTTGAGTTTGATGGCATATCATATTAAAGGAGTTAGCGTCAGTTCTGCGCCCAAGCCGCGCTATCTTGGCGTATCTCTCTAAGACACATGTGGTGCTATTAATCTACGGTTTATAAACCAAACTGTCATTCTTACAAAATCCAAATTTCCGTACAGTATAATTTCCGCTTCAAACATAAGAGAACTAGGAGATCAATGCTCAGTTATTACCTAGTCTCCTTGAGTAACGTGTCATGGAGCTACCTGCTTTTCCTTCTTAAATATCTTGTATCGTTTGACAACCCATTCACCAGCCTTGACCCTTGGACTATCTATTCCTTCTCTGACTGCCCTGCTTTGTCTGTCCATGTCTTTCCATTATCCCTGTTTCTACTGTGCTATCGAATATATCTGATACATAAATGTAATATTCCTGGGTTGGGTTCTAGGATTAACTGCAGAGGACACGTTGTTTATCGATGGTATTTTATTTGAAGATTCAATAAACCTTAAACTGCGTCTGACAAAAAAATCCATTATTTAATATGTACGGGAGAACGTAATTGGAACGTGTAGGGTAACAGTTCAACAAAGACAAACCAAAACTACCCCTTTCACAAAATAAGCATTGATAAAACTGTCCAGCTCACCACAATACTATAAAAGCGAACATAACCGATGTCTCACATAACCAAACATTCCAACCATATGATGGTCTTTGTCACAGCTTACACCTACCACAAATTTCCGAATAATATGGTTAATGACCATACTGCAAAAAAGAAAAATGGCCATACGGCAAAAATAAACAAACAAACAAACAAACAAACAAGAGGTGACAAAAGAGCTCCGCTAAAAAAAATGGGTTTATTTATTTATTTGCTAGTTTTTATATTGTCCTAAAATCTTGATATTTTTGATTAATGAATGTAGAAAATCACTGACACGTATTACATTTGTGTGGAGGTAATATATTTGCTGAAGAGCATGAAAGGTGCTCTCTTACAGGTTTATTCCCCAATCTCAGAATTTTTGTGTTTAAATACAAATTGTGAAATTTAACCAAAACGGTCTGAAATAAAACTGAAACTCGTTCCTAGGCCAGTTTGGTTATTTTAGCTGCAGTTTAGATTTAATTTGCTACCATTCAGAGTTTAGGGGATAATCGTGTTAGTTAGATTGTAAGCTCTGCTTCGAAAACAGGTTTTTCAGTTGCATTTCAGTTGTTGCATCTTTTTGCTGCATCAGATCCGCATCTCCTTTGGTCACTCCCCAGGCGTCTGGCTTTGACATAGAAGGGCAGTACGGTCTTCCAGAAGCAGGGGGGAGCTTCTCCCAGTACTCTCGCCTGGCCCTGGGGGATAAAAATAGGGGAATGATCAAATAGAGAGTACTGTTACTCAGGCCTCCTGTATCCCATATAAACATAATGAGTACTGTTACTCATGCTTCCTGTATCCCATATAAACATAATGAGTACTGTTACTCAGGCCTCCTGTATCCCATATAAACATACTGAGTACTGTTACTCAGGCCTCCTGTATCCCATATAAACATACTAAGTACTGTTACTCAGGCCCCCTGTATCCCATATAAACATACTAAGTACTGTTACTCAGGTCTCCTGTATCTCATATAAACATAATGAGTACTGTTACTCAGGCCTCCTGTATCCCATATAAACATAATGAGTACTGTTACTCAGGCCTCCTGTATCCCATATAAACATACTAAGTACTGTTACTCAGGCCTCCTGTATCCCATATAAACATACTGAGTACTGTTACTCAGGCCTCCTGTATCCCATAAAAACCCCTCTGTTCCTCTCTCCCTCCTTCCAGCTCTATACCTACTGCCCCATAGTCATTTTCTATGGTCTTTCCTTCACCCCATGCAGTTTCTCTCCCCCTCCCCCTTACTCCATGCCACCTGCCCTATTAAAGGCTTATTACTGCCAGGTGGTTTATTCACAGATCTGTAAATCTCTGCCAAGCGGCTTACCTCCTCCATTGGGTGCAACATGGCCTGATGCCTTTAGACCCACTGCCTAGTTAGTGGCCACCAATTAAGATGACCATTATAGGATGAGAGTAACCTGGGGTACACTAAAACTGCATTCATATTTTCACTGCAGAACTTAGTCCTGGTTCTCCCAACTACCATCTGCTGACCAGACTCCTGATCTGTTAAATGCCATCTGATTGGTCAGAATTGCAGGACCTTACAGTGTGAGCTATACATCGTATAGAGAGCTTTCACTATACATCACTTCAAGAAACTGCATCAGATTTACAATGTATCCAGGTTTAACCCCTTAAGGACACATGACATGTGTGACATGTCATGATTCCCTTTTATTCCAGAAGTTTGGTCCTTAAGGGGTTAATAGGCTGAACATCTGATCTATAACAGTACTAGAACTGTATGTAGCCAGTTAATCAACTGAGAATTGGTTTTCATTTACCAGCAGGATGTGTTCAGATATTAAAGGATCACTATGGGGTCAGGAACAAAAACATGTATTCCTGACGCTATAGTGTTAAAACCACCATCTAGCCCCCCTGGGCCCCTCATGCCTCCATAAATATAGTAATATGTTACTGTATTCAAGCCTGAAGCTGTAACTCTGCATGCTGTAAAACTCAGAAAAACAAACAGTTTGCTGACATCATCAGAAGTGGTAGCCTGATCCAATCACAGTGCTTCCCCATAGGATTGGCTGAGACTAACAAAGAGGCAGATCAGGGGCAGAGCCTGCATGATTCAAACACAGCCCTGGCCAATCAGCATCTCCTCATAGAGATGAATTGAATCAATGAATCTCTATGAGGAAAGTTCAGTGTCTGCATGCAGAGGGAGAAGACACTGAATGTTTGAATGCATTTTAGGCAACCATGACCCAGGAAGGATCTCTAACAGCTATCTGAGGAGTGGCCAGTGAAGTTATCACTAGGCTGTAATGTAAACACTGCATTTTCTCTGAAAAGACAGTGTTTACAGCAAAAAGCCTGATGGTAATGATTCTACTCACCAGAACAAATTCAATAAGCTGTAGTTATTCTGGTGACTATAGTGTCCCTTTAATGATATAATGGATATTACTGTACGGCTAATACTTTAGGTTGAAATATTGACAGAAAGTGACAGTACAGATACACAATGCAGGAAGCATCATGTGTTTATAATAACAGCTAGTTGATTAAACTGTACCTTATCAGACACAGGTCAATCATCGATTTTATCTATTTATTTTTTATTCAAAAGCTAAATTGAAAACCAAACTGTAACATTCAGATCAAAGTAGCAGATTTGGAAACATTACCCATCTTCGCTATAGTCAGAACCTGGATGTTTTAGTGTGAATTTTAGAATACGTTTTCCATTCACTACAAATTACTGTTTAGAGAATAAAACTATGTAGGATTTTTTTCTCCCCTATGTTTCCTTTGGGTTTCATAATGCTAATTTATTATAAGTATAATATGTTGTAGTAATAATAATATAACAATATACAATAACATAAAAGCAGTCACTCTCTACAGACGGCACTTACCTGGCTCGAACCCATGGCTTGGTATGCATGTCGAGCCCGCTCCCCCAGCTCCCGTGTTTCTCTGAGCCTTCAGGCAGGAATCCTCTCTCTGTGGCCAACTCCTCAGCTATTGCTCTCGTGTGATATGGCTCAAATCCACAGCAGCCCCCAATATATCGCACCCCAAGATTATAGGCATCTCGGGCATACTTATGGATATCCCATCTGGTGACAATTCTGGGCTCCAAGGCTAATGATACAGAACATTACGTTATAACATTACTAACTGAGCCTTTTCTGCACGGTCTGAGAAATCATTTATACATTGATGAATACATCTATAACACACAAGGGTTATTCAATAAAGTGAGAATTCAAAGAGAATTTTAGTTTTAAGGTCCAAATAGCCAATCTGGAAAAGTTCTCCAAGCTATGCTTTCAAATCAACTACTCTGGCCTTAAATTTGAAGCTTAGTTTGAACTTTGGTAATGCATAAGAAAATATTTTAAAGGAGAAATTTAAAAATGAGTTATGAAGACAATCACCTCTGAATTTCCCTTATTTACTGAAGATTTGCAACTTCTTCAAGGAACAAGAAG